CCATGTAGTGTATGAATTTTATAAGGTTATTTTGTCATTAATAATCGGAGTCTGATAGCCCATCCCCCTTCGTGACGTAATTAAAGCCGAGACGGTCGAGTGCATGAAGTGCTCAACAGGTAAAAAAACGATATAAATACTGTTCAGTTTCTTGAACAGACAGGGGTAAGCAGATAAACATCACATTTTCATTTTTGGGTGAACTATCCCTTTAATGCAGTTACCGGCTTTGTTCCAAGTATGATATATGATCTTTAGATGTGGAGAAAGAGCTCTGCCCCCACCCAGATCATGACCCTACTTTATCTAGAGACTATTATGTGTCTTAGAATGGAGAACAGGTGCACTAGACTGCAAAGGTCACCTACTCGTAGTACTGACAATCTAGTTTTGCTCTTTCACACATACAGATAACAAAACACATGGCTTAACTGCACAAAAACACATAATCTTTAAGCAATGTGCACAAACACGGAGATGTCATGTTATATCCGTGACGTGGATTTCTAGGAACTAAACGGTGAATGGTTTTTGCATACTATAGTAATTATGATGGATTACATGCAACATTGGCTTTTGTAGTACAATATAGCTACTAGAAATGCCATCAGTCTCGTTCTTCTTGTCCGTAAGACCAATTACCGGTAAACTTCCTCCATTTGTCTGCATACAGGAATGGCCGCTGCCGATCGGAATGGAAGTTCACCATTTCTCAGCCCACTGCTCAGGTAGTGGGAGTGCTGAAGATCCAGGTTCATTACTATGAAGATGGCAACGTGCAGCTGGTCAGCCACAAGGATGTGCAAGAGGCTCTGGTCATCTCTGTAAGTTATCTGAGCCTGAGCTGCTTGGGTTTTTGAGTGAGTATGCTTCCTGTAAATGAGTCAGTACGACACAAACAACCTGCCTGATAAAGGAACAGCCGACTGCCCTATGAATGACTGTCTAATGACAGTGGGGTGTGGTGCTGTTTTGATAGATGAAGCACATGATGCCTTTTTGGTACATCTGTTTTCTGGACTTTGAATTGTTGCTGCCTGGCATGGCAGAATGATATTTACTAGTTAAGTTTAGACTACCATTCAAAAGTTGGTGTCAGTCTTTTTTTTTTTTAAATAATGTTACATTTACTTTTATTTAACAAGAATGCATTAAATTTTTCAAAAGTAACCGTAATTAAATTTATAAGGGATCTACAAGAGATTTCTGTCACGTTTTTCAGCATAATACTTAAATAATACCAAGAAATGTTTCTTGAGCAGCATGATTTCTGAAGGATCATGTGACACTGAAGACTGGAGTAATGATGCTGAAAATTCAGCTTTGCTATCACAGGAATAAATGACATTTTAAAATATATTCAAACAGAAAGCAGATATGTAAAATTGTAATAATATATCATAATATTACTGATTTTACTGTATTTTTTATTTTTGATTAAATAAATGCAGCCTTGATGAGCAAAAGAGGCTTCTTTCAACAACATGAAAAAAAAATCTTACCAAACCCCAAACTTTTGAACAGTAGTTTATATTAACGCCATTTCGAATGGTTTTTCTTTAAACCTTTTTCTTTAAGTGGTATTACCGTATTGACCCGAATATAAGACGATGTTTTTTTCTTGGAAATACATCTGAAAAATCGCGGTCGTCTTATATTCAGGGTCTTTCTGAAAAAACGCGGTCGTCTTATATTCAGGGTCCAGGGTCAGTAATACACCCACAACAATAGGTGGCGCCAAATACGCATAAAACGAGTGTGCCATGAAATAAGTAATGTAATGCGTGTTGTGAAGATCTCAAGTAAAAACAAAAGAAAACCTTACAGCTGTGTGAGTCGTGACTGTTACGTTAGCCTGATGGGACCAAACTCCCTTTGTGATTTTAAAACGTAAGACAGTACCCAGATTTGAAGACTACAGTAAGATTTAACTTCTACTGTTAATAAGATTTTGGTAGGCTACTATTAGATGGATAGCCTAAATGTCCTAATTCAGATGGGCTACCTGTTTTTTTTATTTTTATGGTATATCAAAAAGTGTATATTTTTTAAATGTGATTGTTGGTACATTTTACCAGTTTTTACCATACTTTCAAAACAAAAATTAAAATAGGAAAAATATGCAATATAAAAATAATTGAAGACAAAATATGTTTTACTGAGAAAAAACAAGATTTGGTTTTTAAAAAGCCTTTTTCCAAAAGGTACATCTGGAAAAAGGGGGGTCGTCTTATAATCAGGGTCGTCTTATATTTGGGCCAATACGGTAATTAAAATTTTTTTTTTTTTGTGAATGTACAGTTTGGCTTGCCAGAACTTACTCTTCATCTCAAACTTTGACAACAAATCTCTTTTCCCAATATTCCAATGCTCACTTATGACAGCATGAGAATGATAAATTAGAAAAAGCATCAATTAAAACGCCTGATGTTCTTCCTTTTCCTTTTAATTTTGTTGTTCTAGCGCCATATGCTTCTTTGTTGAGAGAAAAGAAACATGAAATTGCCCTGCAAATCCATTTAATTCTAACCAAAATTAAAAAATTAAACACTAAAAGGAACAATCACTGTTTCTGAAATTCTTTTGCAACTTCTTTTCAGGAATTATGAGTGCGCAAATGATCCACTTTTGGTAATTTAGTGATTATTTTTGCTCTTCTTTTTCAACAGAATGAGGTACAGACTGCCAAGGAGTTTGTCAAAATCATTGAAAATGCTGAGAATGAATATCAGGTTTGTTGATTTTGATTGGTTAGTAATTATTTTACAGTACTGCGATTGCAGGTTAGTCTTGATGGAGGGCAAAATGAAGTATTTTATAGTAGGGCTGTGCGATTAATCGAAATCGTCATAAAATCGCGATTTGAGCTTGCGCGATTTCTAAATCGCTTTACAGCACGATTTTCCACGGCCCCGACCTCCCGCAGTATGGATAAAGCTCTAATTGGTTTTCTTTTGAAATGTTTCAAATTCACACTGAATGCATTTATGACTGTAAAGCATGTCTGTGTGTGTCAAAATCGTGATTAAAATCGAAATTGATCAAAGAAATCGCGATAGTTTTTTTTTGTCCATATCGCACAGCCTTATTTTATAGCACCTGATCATATCTACGATGTGCGAAAAGTCATAGAGTGAGATTTTCTGTCGTTTGCCTTCCAGACGGCCATCAGTGAGAACTACCAGACCATGTCTGACACCACCTTCAAGGCCTTACGCCGGCAGCTTCCCGTCACCCGTACCAAGATCGACTGGAACAAGATCCTCAGCTACAAGATCGGCAAAGAGATACAAAACGCTTAGACACACGGCATGCCTCCGCTCCTGCTCGCGTTACAAGCAAAGAGACAAGCTACGAGGGGCCCATATCTAAACCTGAACCTACATCTGAATCCAGGGCTGGGCCAAGGCGAGAAGGTCCTTCAAGAAGTGTGCTAAAAATGTGTCTGTCCTTTGTTTGTTTGTTTGTTTTCCAGAAGCCACGGTTTGACCTCAGCTGAAGAGACTGCCTCCTTTTCTGTATTGTAGGAGGGCTGCAAGCTTGTTTTAATGTGTTTAGCAAAAGTTTTTGCTGTTGAACAAATACCTCCCACAACACCAGTGTACAGTGTCATAAATGGCCCCCCTAATATCCCTTACGCCTCCTCTAGATCAGCGTTCCCAATGCTTGACACACTGAACTTTTTATTGCACTTAGCCCATATGATCAATTGAGTCCATTTCGTTTACTTTTTTAGCAACTCGACAAAGTTTTACTTCATGTTGAGTCATAAGATATAATTTATCAATACGTAGCCCATCAAAGCTCTCTGGCTGGTCATAATGAATGTCATGACACCAGTTTATCATCACCGTGTTGTTTTCCAACGTAGCAATTGGTCTTTTTTTTTTTTAAAGCATTGTTGTAAGGTGCCATCATTTGAATGTTCTGTCAATTGATCACAGAGAGGGTTGTGCCAAAGTGAGCACTGTATCTGTACAGGAAGTCGTTTCAGGTTACTGTTCTGTGTGGAAATGGTCCCATCGTCGTACTCTGGTGTCTAAGAATGGTATATATACTGTATGCAGTTACACAAAATATTTGTTACCCCTCACTTCAGCCTCATACCCTAGCTTTTATTGCTAACTATTTTTTACAAAATGTAAGAACAAATATGATCCCAGAGGAATAAACGATTTGCACCAAACTGACTTCATTACTATTATTTTTAATGTATTGTAACACAATTTAATGTCATAATATTATATATAATATTAAAATGCAGTTTTACTTAGAATGAGGGGTGTAAATTTGCTCTAAAGCCAATTTTTATTCTTTTTTATCATTTAGTAATGCATTAAGAATTCTCAAATTTAGCTCTGAATCTGTTTAACAGTTGTTTTGGTGTTCAAACACTATTCAAACACTGTTTTTTCATTGTATTTGGTAGTGTATTATTATTATTATTATTATATCAAATTACACTAAATGCTGTAATTGGTGCATCAAAATGTAATTGTTAAATTGGTGCATTTCTACACCCCTGCTTAAATTGCTAGGATATTTGTTTGGTTCTTGCTATAAAAAGGTTAATTGATAATATACTATACCTATAAACATTAGCCTCAGAAATGAACTTTAATTGTATTTTTATTTAATTTTATTTTCCAATTGAAATTTTATTTGGCAAATGGTGATTATTTTGTTTTCCTCTGAACTGATTTTAAGTTTATTTTATTTTTTTATATTTAAATGTTTTTTCTGTATTCTGTTTTTTTTCTGTTTATTTTAATGTTTAAATAATTTTTCTAATATATCCATTAATTAGGTTAACAACAGAGAATGTTCAAATATGGGCTTTGTTTTGTTGTTTTGTGTATAGTAAAATAGTAGTACGTTAGAACGGTATTCTCATCAGCCAGTTTCACGTTTCACTTAAAAAAGTAGTATACAGTACATACTGCAGTATGCTATTCTGGTTTAAACCGTCGAGTATAAATGAACGGGAGCTGCGCCCTCTGTTGGAGAGCGTCAGTACAACATTCTCTCCTCCACTATCCCACAATTCTAATGTTTACGGCTAGTCGGTGAAAGATGGCGGACAGCAGTGGCCGTAATCCTCAATCACCCTGTTTCACGGAGAAATTAAAATCGTGGCTGTGCTGGTCGTGGACGTACATATGTGCGCTTTGGTTCGCCATGGTCTTAACGATGGTTTACGTGCTGAGGAGCCCACTGAAGCTGCAGGAGACCGTTAACGCAGGTGTGTGTTTATGTTCAGCTGTGTGGGTGTCTACAGCACAACACAGGATATCTTTCTGTTCATTGAAGGAAAAGTTCACACAGATACACTAATTCTCTCGTCTCTATGCATACCCATGTGCGTTTAATTTTCTGTGGAATATGAAAGGAGAAATTTTGAAGTCAGTGCTGGTCGGAGTTTTCCATGCAATGTCAATGAATGGTGACTGAAGATGTCAAGTGTCCAAAAGGACTCTAAATTGCCATTAATGATCATAACAGCACTCGAGTCGTGCAGTTGTTTGAAGTCATACTTTAGCATTGTGAGAGAAACAGACCTGCATTTAAATTCATTACTGAATCATTGAATGTAATGTTTACTTTAGATAAAAGCAACTGTCAAATGCAAGTCTAGGAAATGTTATGTTTTGTACATTAATATAATTCTGAAATCAGTGCACTGAAGCTTCACTCTTATGTCTCATAATTGTCACATTTTGTTATGGTATTAATATCCACAAATATTTTAACTTTTACATAGTGCAGTGTGCATGTGAAGTTTGTGTAGTAGCATTATTCAGAGGAGGAATTTACTAAGACAATGTGCTATGACACCGTAAACAAATAAAAATATGTTAGTATAACAAAAATATTTTTTATACTAAGACGTTTTTCAAAGTTCTACATAAATAATCAAGTAACTTGTATATTAATTTATATATAAGCTACTTACTAATATATAAGCTACTTCCTTTTTCAGTTACTGTTTTTAAGATGATACTTATAGCAGAAGTTGACTACATGTAAATCTAGAAAATTGGTTGTTTTGTAAATGAATGTACAAAACAGTCCAACTACAGTTTGTCACAAACAAAGCATCACTCCAATTACTCAGTTTAAAATATAATATATTATATAAAACATATATCAAGTGTAATGTTTTAAAAGTGTAGTGTGCATGTGATGTTTGAGTAGAAGCATTTTTCAGCGGTTAATTTTAAAATGAATTTTAATATAAATTTAAAACGTAATTATTTTATTTTATTTATGCAGGATATGGGTTTAATCATTATTTTTGTACATTTGTTTAAAAGAGTTGTAAGACATTAAATTTCTGGCCATTTTTATGAGTTTAATTTGTATATATTTAAAATCTACTAAATACATCCCCACTATATATATATATATATATATATATGTATATGTGTGTGTGTATATATATTTCTATTTTGCATTGCTTTAAGATAGTGCTGTCAAACGATTAATCGCGATTAATCGTTTGACAGCACTACTTTAAGCATTTTTCAAGATTGACAGGTGTTACAATTTTTACTTAATATGAGTATGTAAAAATGATTAGACTTTCTTTGTCTTACTATATTGTTATCCATCCACAGCATCTGTGTTTTTAAACACTCTTACGCCTAAATTCTATGTTGCGCTGACTGGAACCTCCTCGCTCATCTCGGGCCTTATATTGGTGAGTCTTTTTCTTGGCTTTAGTAAATTGGTTGTCAAATAACTTAATACTTAATAAAATAAGTAATAACTATACTAAACAACTAACTTCAGTTTCAAAGCTGTGTAAAATCACACTCTTTGCGTTTGTCTTCAGTTATTTGAGTGGTGGTACTTTAGGAAGTACGGCACATCCTTCATAGAGCAGGTGTCTGTCAGTCACTTGCGCCCTCTACTGGGAGGAGTGGAGAACAGCAGCTCTGCGGGCCTCTTCTCTTCTGTAAACGGTGATACCGAGCCGAGAACCAACGTTGCAGGTTTTTGAAAGTTACTACATGTTTATCTTTCTAAATATTATAAAGTGAATGGAATATGCAGCTATTATTTTCTTTTTCTTTCAGAATGTAAAGTGTGGAGGAACCCACTGAACCTATTCAGGGGTGCAGAGTACAGCAGGTATGAAGGTTTCAGTTAATTTGAATATTTGATTTTTAAAATATGACAGAATTCTATTATTTAAAAAAAATCATATTCATTCATGATCCTTTCATTCCAGGTACACTTGGGTGACGGGAAAAGAGCCCCTGACATACTATGACATGAATTTATCAGCCCAAGATCATCAAACCTTCTTCTTGGGAGACACTCAGCAACTTAGACCAGAGGACTCTGGTTAGTCTCATGCTCCTCCACTTGAAAGAAATACCTAAATTGAATCAGAATTGATGTTTAATCATGATTGGTATCTCTCTTGCTTGTTCTGCAGTAATGCAGAAGGCCTGGAGGGAGAGGAACCCGCAGGCACGAATTCAAGCAGCTTACCAGGCAATTGAAATGAACCGAGAGTGAGTTCCACACATCCTTGTGATTTTATAAAATTTACCGTCTTCAGACGTGGCTCATCCAGCCAGACTTTACAGCTGAAATGGTCCATTTAAACAGCCATAAAAATACATGAACGAGGGATGCATAAAATGTTGGTACCATTTTGCTTATTTGCTTATTTTAATTTTATTTTATTTAATCAGTCAATATAAGATAATTAGTTATGCATGCTCTTACATTTACATTTAGTCATTTGGCAGACGCTGTTATCCAAAGCGACTTACAAATGAGGACAATGGAAGCAATCAAAACCAACAAAAGAGCAATGATATACAAGTGCTATGACAAGTCTCAGTTAGCCTAACGCAGTACACGTAGCAAGTTTTTTTTAAATTATATAATAAATAAAAAGAAAAGATAGAATAGAGCAAGCTAGTGTTAGAGGCCTTTTTTGCTTTTTGTTAATTGTATAATAAATAAAAAGAAAATGAAAAGAATAGAGAAGGTAGTGTTATTTTTTTTAAGTTAAAAGTAATATTTAAAAACATAATAACGCAGTTAAATGTAATCTTATTTTTCATAATGTGCATTATAAAGATTATGCCTAAATTCACTTGTAACTTGTCATTTTAAAATGACCTGTTTTAATTTTTAATGTTATATTTTGAATTTATTTAAATATACAAAAGCATGAAGTTGTAATATAAGCCATGTATCGTTATTTAAATTCTGGCTTTCTGTTTCAGCCAGATGTGAACATGGATTTTAGTTTTTCTAACTCTCTTTGTATTTTTTTATTCTATTTATATCTATTTTATCATGTCGTATTGGATATTTAATTATGTATGCTAATTTTCTGTCACTTAAAGCTAATCGTAACACATAATAATCACATAATCTTAAAACATAATAATAATTTAATAGCACTATTAAATGTAATATTTTCAAAATTTATATATAATAATTTTTCACACTGTGCATTATAATGTTGATGCCTATTTTTTTTTTTATTTAAATAATTTTTATTTTTATTATTTTAATACATAACAGTATCTTATTGTATTATAAGCCATGTATGGTTATTGATCATAACATAGGAGTAATTACTGGCTTTTCTGTTTCGGCCAGAATTTTATCATCATTGCATCTCTAATGTTTGCATCAAATTGACTTTTTCTGACTCTCAAGCATATGACTCATTCATTGCAGATGTGCTGCAGCATATGTGCTGCTGGCCGAGGAGGAAGCCACAACCATCACAGAGGCTGAACGGCTTTTCAAACAAGCACTTAAGAGTGGTATGAAACTTTCACACTGTCACACATATATAGCCAGCATACAGTAACTCACACTGCTGCTTATTCTCGTTGCTTTCACAGCCGGTAAAGACACCAATCTTGTGGTCTACATCAAGCGCAGACTGGCCATGTGTGCAAGAAAACTGGGTCGCATCAAAGAAGCTGTAAAGATGATGAGAGATGTGAGCGAAGCAATATACCACTTACGATGTTTAGGTGTTGTGGCTGTAAAAAGTGTGTGTTTTAGTGATTATCTTATGGGGCTTATGCCTTGCCACATAGACTTTTATAGAAATTATTTTACAGTAAATTAGGTTTAGGTTTTTTCTTTTTGAGGATCTAAATGATTTTCTGTGGTTTTCCACAACATGATTGAACATTCCTGTAACTTTAGTGCAGATATAAAAATAATTCAGTTTGACAAAAAATGTTAAAACTCTGGTCACATGACTCTAAAACATGTTGTCACTCCACATCTATAGAATATCCTCAGGGCAAGTTTACATTCAACATTTACCTGAACATACCTTACTATTTTCTTTATGATTCTGTACATTAAAAAAATATTAACTGAAAGAGAAACTTTGAATTACAACAATAGATTTAAAAATATAAAAATCTGGTGTCTTATATAGCGTTTTTAGCATTTTATAGCCTAAAATATTAATGTTCTGTAATCATCAGAGAGTAATTTCTGGCATAATAATTCAACACTTAAACTTTTTTATGAATACATTGGAGCTCAGCCTTTACTTGAATTGTAACATACTACTGGACACATTTGATTTTATTTATTTTTTATTTTGCATTTCATTATTTTATTTTATTTTAGTGGTATCTTGCACTTGAATTATGCTCTGTTGTGTAATATTGTCATTTTCTTGTTTCCTTGCACAGTTAATGAAAGAATTCCCCTTACTGGGAATGTTAAATATTCACGAGAACCTTTTAGAAGCATTATTAGAGCTGCAGGCCTACGCTGATGTACAAGCAGTCCTTGCAAAATATGACGGTAAGCTCATTCAGCTGTCATGTTACTGTACATTTCATAGAGGACCAGGAAGAGATGCTAGTATCCTTTATATTAACTGTCTGATGTTTCTCCCTTCAGATATCAGCTTGCCAAAATCAGCTACTATATGCTACACATCTGCCTTACTGAAAGCCAGAGCAGTGTCAGATAAGTAAGTCTTCAGCATCCTGGAAAAAACTTTTTTTTTAAAAATTATTTTCAGTTATGTCTAATATTGAATAGCATATTACCATATCATAGCATAGGTGATGTTTATGGATGATAGTTTGCTGAATGAATCTGTGGTCAGATAAGTAAGTTTTCAGCATCCAGGAAAAACCTTTTTTTTTTTTTTTTTTTTTTTTCCAGTTATGTCTAATATTGAATAGCATATTACCATAACATAGCATAGGTGATGTTTATGGATGATAGTTTGCTGAATGAATCTGTATGTGTGTTGTATGGCAGGTTTTCGCCTGAAGCAGCGTCTAGACGAGGTCTCAGCACAGCAGAGATGAACGCAGTAGAGGCCATACACAGAGCTGTGGAGTTCAACCCACATGTACCAAAGGTTCGAATGATTCTTTTAAAGGGTCCAAAATTTGTGTGTCTTATACACTACTATTCAGAAATTTGGGGTCAATAAGATTGCTTTTAATGTTGGTAAAGGAGGTTTCTTATGCCCACCAAGGCTGCGTTTTTTTCATTAAAACAGTAATATAGTGAAATATGATTACAATTTAAAATAACTGTTTTCTGTTTTAATATATTTTAAAATATAATTTATTCCTGTGATGCAAAGCTGAATTTTCAGCATCATTACTCCAGTCTTCAGTGTCACATGATCCTTCAGAAATCATTCTAATATGCTGATTTGCTAATCAACAAACATTTCTTATTATTATCCATGTTGAAAACAGTTGTGCTGCTTAATGTATGTGGAAACCATGATACACTTTTTTTAGCTGTATTTGATGAATAGAAAGCGCAAAAGAACAAAATTTATTTAAAATTCAAATGTTTGTAACATTATAAATGTATTTACTAAAGCAATAAGCCCCAAGAAGCCGTGGTTTACAGTGAATTTATAACAGCTAAGGGGCGCTGTTAGGCACTACGCGAAGCAGAGTTTGACTTTTTATCTAAATTTTTGATACTAAATTTTGATTGGATTCGCTAATGTCCAATAATAAAAAAAAATACCAGTTTCAAGTGATCTTACCCTAGTAAAAAAGTAATATATTTAAAATACATTTATTTCATATTAAGTATAGTTCAAATCTATTAACATATTTACTGACATCGCTCGAGACTTACTGATATAAAAATTCTAATTCAACTTTATTTGGAGTACTACTCATGCACAATGCACATTTCTTAATATTAAGCTTAAAATGTGTTTTAATGTCATTTGATGAGGATTGTATGATCTTTCAATAATATCAATCTTTACATGCAAGATATTTAAAGTGTACCTGAAGCATACTTGCAACAGTTCCACTTTAGCACAATCAAATATACTTCAGTATATCTTTAGTTGGACTTCAGCACTTCTTCTGCACAAATAAAGTGCTTTAAGTACAAAATTACTTGTTCCAATTTAGCAGACTTTAATCATACCAGTTTAGTATACTTATAGTACAATTGCAGGATATTTTTATTTGCAGTATACTTAGCATGAAATAAATGTATTTCAAATACATTTAAGTATATTTATTTTTTACTTGGGTATCATGATGTATAATGCAGTTTTTTAAGTTACTTGCCCACACATCAACTTTATCTCACTGTTATTCTTGAGTGCAGAGACACGTTGTCATGACCAGGAGGTGATGCTGTTGAAGCACACTGCAGTCCTCTGCGCTAAACAGAAACTAAACAGAAACCTTTCTAATATTCACATCAGGAGTAGTGCAGAGACACGTTGTCATGACCAGGAGGTGATGCTGTTGAAGCACACTGCAGTCCTCTGCGCTAAACAGAAACCTTTCTAATATTCACATCAGGAGTGCATCGTTCACAGTTTTACATTGAACATAATTGCAGGTGGACTTGTCGACCCATGACTGCCGTGCATAGATTTTCGTAAACTGTGTTTAGGGCAAAAGTTGTATCACCTTTGATTTTCTTTTTGCTCTTTAATAATGTTTTGACCCTCATCAACTATTTCTTTCTTTGTACCTGGTTCCAACTTGCAACTTTTCAAAACACTAGATCGGACTTCAGAGTGCTTAACCTCTTCACACCCAAACACACCGTCTCAGTTGAGGGGTATTTACACACATGCGTGCAACTCAGACGTGCTGTATCAGACTACAAAGTGCACCTGTTTGAGATGTGCAGCAAATATCAACACACACACATACACCTGGTCTTTCATTTGCCAAATCTGCCCCTTGAGCAAAAAGGACGATCCAGGATGAGCAAAGAGGGTGTTGGATGTCAGTAGTATTACTATTACATTTGTGTGATCACTTCAGACAGAGACTTTATAGTCTGTCCTAGGGTTATACCGCCAGCATTATAGATTGAGTATTAAAGATGTGGACTTGTAGAATTTGGGCAATGCAGTAATATTTTATGCTATTATTATACAAGCAATAAGATACAAGAGACCAAAATTTGTGTCCTCTTTATTTTTATTATGTTTAACAGTTTCATAAAAGTGAAAGGCACTTGATTACTTGCTAAATATCATTGTCTCTCCTACTTATTGCTTATGTCGGTGGTTTTCAAACATTTTGATGGGAATTTCCCCCAAATGTTATCCCCTTGATAAAATATATAATCAGCTGCAAAGCAAACTTTACAACAAACTTTGATATTCTAAAAAGATGTTTCGTAAATGCGTTGTCATTGTACTGAAGCCATTGAAAATTACTAAACTATTATCTGGTAAATATATTTACTTTTATATTAAGTTGACAACATACACCACCATTCCAGTTTCATTCCAGTCTCTTGTGCTTACCAAGGCTGCATTTATTTGATCAATTTAATGCATCCTTGCTGAATAAAATCTAAAAAAGAAAAAAATTTCCCCCGACTTTTGAACAGAAGTGTGTCTTTTTCAACAGTGCAACAGTGGTAATATTAGTTTTATAGTAAAAAAAAAAATATAATAAAGTACTATAATTTGGTAAAAGCATTAAATTATTGTTAAACATTGAATTAATCTCTTAAATGTTAACTTTGACATCCTAGAAACATTATAATGCATGATGTCATCCGTCAGTGTAAACCTGTACCTCACCTTTGCATCTCCAAGACCACCGTAGTGTAATGTCATTGTACAGGGTCTGTACGGTCAAGTGAAAAGAGATACGAGACAGACTGAGACATAGGCTTATGGGAGTTCAGCAGGGGCTTAGGAGGAACCTCCACATAAAAGAGACACATCACTGACACTTGATCCGCCATTAAAAGAGGTGACCGTGTTTGTGTGCGGGCATGTTGTGTAGAACAGCTGCCTGTTGAATGTCAGCATGATCATAAAGCTAAATTACCCATGTCTGCGCGCATATGACATATCCAACATGGTGATTGTTACTGAAAGATATGTTTGGATATTTGTTCATAATTCAGAAGGTGCGCTTGACACATTGTAGAGGGAATCAGTCGAATTGAGTTGTAATGTACCATAACCACAGCCAGGGGCATTTGGGTAGGTTATCCTCTGGATAATACCATTTAATCTTGCTGTATTGCCCTCGACAACATTCACCCCGGGGCCCAGACCAGGGGAGGATTTAAGTATACAGGCTCAGTATAAGTATAAACTCTCATATGTACACTTTAAGAAATGTTCGTAAAAAAAATATGGCCTAATATTCAGTGTTATTATGAAATTATTTTTCATATAGATTTTTTCACAGGTGTTATACCAGTATTTTTTTTAAAGATTTATTTTCTGTGTTTTGCCTTTATTATGATAAAAAGCAGACAGGAAGCAAAGTGGGAGAGAGAAGGGTGGATGGGATCGGGAAAGGTCCTCAAGTCGGGATTCAAACTCGGGACGCCTGTAATGGCGTTATATGTCTGCGCACTTGCCCACTGAGCTATCGGTGCCAACATTATACCAGTATTTTGAATTATTTATTGCATTTTGTAGTGTTTTATGGTTGAATGTCTGGAAAATGTACTAGTAATTTTCTGCCAGGAAATTATCTTTTTTTTTTTTTACAGTGTATGGGTAAATATCTGGGTCACATTTCACCCCAATATTAAAGGGGAAAACAATACATTATATTTTGCATTAAGAAAATAAAGAATAATTTAGCATTTTTTAAATGACCATTAATATTTTTGTCATTGTAACATTATTTTCATGACACATAATTGCCTTATTAATTGGCCATTGGGCATAATTGCCTGAATGCATTTGTTTTTTTTTTGGATAGTTTTTATGCATGTATGTATTTAAATACTTTACCACATTAATAATGTAATATTATACATAATATATTTATATAATGAAAATAATTGTTTCTATAATACTTTTTTGCATTATGGTAATAAGAATTGAGAATGCTTAATTTTCTTTTCATTTCTTTTGTTTCCTTGAGTTAATGTAATTAAAATTGTTTTGTTTTGTGTGTCGTTGCAGTATTTATTAGAAATGAAGAGTCTGATTTTGCCACCTGAGCATATTTTGAAGAGGGGGGACAGTGAGGCGGTGGCGTACGCTTTCTTTCACCTGCAGCACTGGAAACGGGCAGAGGGGGCGCTCAACCTGCTACACTGCACCTGGGAAGGCAGTATGTGCAGTGCACATCTGTTCTTTTTCTTCTTTTTCATGTATAGAATATGATGATTACCATACTCATTTACCATGAAAATTACAAGGCACTTCAGAAGTACTTAAAAAAAGCATGGCATGCTATTATCATCATGTAGTATCTGAAAACAACAAAAGTACTTTGTTGTAAGCTGTTTACTGTAAAACAAAATGTAAATCATCTCACTTGATATCAGTTGACACCTTTTGACTCTTGTAGCTTTCCGGATTATTCCATACCCCCTGGAAAAGGGTCATCTCTTCTATCCTTACCCAGGATGCACAGAAACTGCAGACAGAGAGCTTCTGCCTTGTAAGTATACACTATATAGTTTTATATATCCGTCGTTATGTATAAATTGTTAATGTGCTGTCTAGGGATATGCCGGTATCAAATTTTCATGTTGCGATTAATTGCTAATGCTTTTATCACGGTATATGGTATTATCACGATATTGAAATTTAGTTGCAAAAAGTGTTGTCATAATACAGTATAACAGGTTTAATAACTTTTTTTTTATAGCAAAAATAACTGAATGTTTAAATACAATAAAGCAATAAGAATAAAGTGCAAAAGAATTATAAAGACCAATAGGTATCACTTTACAATAAGATCCCATTAGTTAACCTTAGTTAATGCATTAAAGCTGCAGTGCGTAACTTTTTTTTGGCTAAAAATGATCCAAAATCAATATTTGAGCAAGTACATAACCAGCCAGTGTTCAAAACTATCGCCTTATTTTAGCCCGATTCACAACGGTTAGCTTATAATAATGTTTTCTAATTTGAGTGGAAATTCGAGCATACTGCCGCACCACGTCACGTCTGTAAACATAAAGAAGTTGTCCCGGCTACTAGGCTATCGCATGTGCAGATGCTGCAGGTGGCCGATCGAAGACAACCAGTTCGAAGGGAGCATAATTTGCTTTTTGGGTTAAAAGAATTTCTTAATATGAAATTCGAATGGTATGACAATTAGAGTTTAGACTGTACAGAAATTGAAATCTACACTATAATACACTATAGGCAATGCTGATGTTGTTAACATGAATAATTTGAGAATAAAGTATAACGGTAATAATGATTTGCATGCTTTGTTTTCGAGGTAACGGCTGCATTTCTGCTGTTCAGCGCCATCTGCTGTCAGAGAGTGAATGTGCGCTTTCATTCAGATCATCTCTCATGCGCTCCGCCATGCGCTTCTCATCCGTGCTTGTTTACATCAGAGTGCGCTTGCGTCTTTCACGCAGCATACAGCGGTGTAGTGCATTGTGACCAGTTGGTGGGAAAAGTATTCTTAAAATGCATTCAAAATTCGGAATAATTTGTAATAAATAATTATTTTCTGTATTTTGAAGTGCCCACGATAACAATATTGTGCATATTCATTATCGTGATATATTGCATTACCGAATACCGGCACATGTCTAGTGCTGTCACATTAGAGTGATTTCAATAAAAATTGTGCATGCAAAAAAAGGCCCATTGTCAATAGTGTAGAGAAGAAGCACTGCTCACACAGACGTCACTTTCAAACAAAGCAGTGTGGCAAATTCACAACCTGAACACGAGTGAAATCTGTGTGATGAACTATTTTGCATGCTTTGCAAACTCTAGATTGTGCAGATTCTTATTGGAATAACAGGATTTCGCCCCTGAAATGTCTCTGAGCAACGCTAAATGTGACCATACCTTTTGCACAAGGATATAGTGTTAAAAGTCAACTGGTTTGAAAATGATTAAAAATAAGAGGAAAATAGGGTACTTATTGACCTGTTTTTAAGATAAATAAATCTGTCTGTCTTTATCTTTTTCTTCCAGCATTTCATGAGGTCTCAGTGTATCCGAAGAAGGAGCTTCCTTTCTTCATCCTCTTCACAGCAGGCCTGTGCTCCTTCTGTGCCATGTTGGCCATGCTCACACACCAGTTTCCAGAGCTCATGGGGGTCTTCGTCAAAGCCGTGAGTATCTGTATGCCTCACCAAACCCAAAAGTGTTTTTTTTTTGTTTTTTTTGGTTTTCCTCTTGTCCCTCTGTGCCCTTATTTCTTTCTTTTTTTGTTTAGAAGAGAAAGTACACAATCACTGAACTCCCAAGATAAACATGTCTTTGTGTTGCAATATAAGAATGAAGTCTGTCAGTGACATTCTAGATGGTACAAAAATATAGGAGCCTAATAAAAATGCTCATTTCAAGTATAGTATATTTAGATAGATAGAAATACAGAGAGAGAGATACATTTATATTATATTATCTTATAATTCTTAAAAATAAATAATTAATATATATAAATGATAAATTTATTGAATATATTAATAATTAATATACATAATGAAAACATATCAATATTATATATATATAATATAGACGCATGCAGTTCTGTTTATTAACTGCTAGAGCGCCAAACAAATTAAAAATTTGTTTATATGATTTTATATTTTGTTATTTGTCATTTGTATATAGATTGACTTACAATACTTTGCACAGTAACTTGTTTACAGTCCTTAGTCAATGAGGTAGCAGAATGGAGAAGAGAAATTAAAGAGCAGAAGTGAAGCTAAGCCAAGCAGGCCTTTGAACTGTTCGTACAACAACATTTAGCCTCTCCGAAGGTCAGGATGCCCATTTCGTGGCAGTGCGTTCTTCTCTTATCGTTGTTTACATTCATTTGGGTGAATTAATAGCGAATGATTGATTTCAGAACAAGTTTGAGTTGTTGCACTAGACGCCACGGAAGGACCTTGCCTCCGACTTGCATTCGAAGTTGCTCTTTTTCCATTATACTCCCTCGCTTGCCCGCGCACATACACACAAGCTTTGTTCCCCGTCCACTCCAAACATCTTGTTTTCCTTACTCCTGAATGTGAGGACATGCAGCCTCATTGGCCTTTATCTTTTTATCAACCTCGTTTGTCATGTTACAACATGTATTTCCTGGATCTGGGTTAAAATGGATGATACCGCTCCAGCCTCCACTCTTCCCGTTTTCCTCCCTCTCCGACACGCGGCCCCGGGCTTCCTTTCCCATATTCCGTCATAAACATCTGTTCATCCGTGAAATGTATCGCTTCATAAACACATTTGAGGCTTGTTTATGGTGGATTGAATCATGGAGGTTTCAGTGTTTTTCAAAGGGACTGTTTCACGCCAGTTTTATAGTCCTGAAGTTGGTTGCCATCCAGAGTTTTTTTCTCCTCTTGTTTGTGTCTGTCAGGACCTCCATGTAGTATCCCAGAGGGACAAACTCGATCATACTTATGTCTAGCACTTCAGGCATTTTAAAGGCAACTTTCTGACAGCTTGTGGCTAAGTCACACTGAATAGTCTATGAATGAGGTAGATAAGACGAGCAAAAGCACTGCTTTCATATTTTTTTCTTCAGGTTGGACAAGCATTTCTCATAGACTTCCTCATGTCAACATCAGCTCACAGCGGCCAGTTTAGGACTGAAATTCATTAATTTCACAAAATTGTTGTTTGGTAAAAAGGTGTTTACTGTACTACAACACCAAACTACTGTACAGTCGCTACCAGAGATTGGAAATGAAACCTCAAATATTTAAATATTTAAATTAATATTCAGTGTTAATAATTATTAAATAGATATAAGCAGATATATATTTAAATATGTCAATGTTAATCATGAATATATGGATGTAAATCTGGATAAATGCAGTTATAGATCTAAATATAGTTATAAAATAAATCTGAAAATATTATTGTGAATCCATATATATATATATATATATATATAAAAAATTCTTC